CATGTCCTGACTTAGTGATGGTAAACCTATATTAACTTTGTTAGAGATGACTCACAGTGGACAAAAGAGTTCTTCTAACCAGGGTAGTCATTCACTCATTATTATTACTGCATACATTTCTATATATATATACACAATGAATGATTTGAAATGCACTACACACTTTACAGATACCAATAATACAGGAGGTTGTGATTTACTGCAGTTATGGCAAAACAAACTGTTTACAAAAGCATCAACATGAATATTTGGTGGGCTGTGAAAATCCGATCCTGTGATTAGAGGGGAGAACACCCACTGAGTGGCTACACCAAAACGACTCTGTCAGAACTCGGGAGCAGAGTTGTGTTTAAGCACTAGGGACCTTATTTGAACTGGAAACAAAGACCTCAGCTGCTGCTGCAGTGTGTGAGAGTATATGACTGTGGGAGGACTATAAACATGTCTATAAGAGAAGGGGCGGAGCTCTGTATATAGACTACTTTCACTGTGAATGCATGCATCTGTTAGCATGTCTGGTATCAGACTGTCTTGTATAGTTAGAGCTCCTCAGCCATCTGCAGCAGAGAGTTGATGGCAGCATCCTTGTTGCCTTGCTGTGCGTCCAGTACAGTGCGAACCACCTCTTTGTCCAGGTTGGGGAACATGTCCTGCAGAGCCTTAAGGTCCTGCTCAGTGCATGGTAGGCCCTGGTTCCCAATTGCTGGCATGGTAGTTGGCACTGCCATAGGCATCATGCCCTGGTTGTAGACTGCAGGAACTCCTGGGAACACAGATGACACTGCTTATACAAGAACCAGCTTTGAACTTATTAGATACCTGACTGACTAACTGACTGACCTGTGATGGGCACGTATCCCACTCCTTGTTGATACACAGATGGCATGAAGACAACAGGCTGAGTCATCATTCCTGCTGGTAAAGACTGGCACAAAGACAGGTTAACAACTTAACTTCATGGAAATAAATGAAACAGAAATGAAAGATGCTTTTCAACATATTTCCTGACAGTGAAGCAACACTCGGTCATTTTTAAAGCCTTTTCCTTGAAACTAAATAAAAATTAATAATATATATTAGAGGCTATCATGTTCCAAGCTTTCAAGATTCGTTTTGTTACACTATACAAAACAATTTATGGAAACTGTGTCATTGTCCAAATACTTGTGGGAATAATAAACTGACTGTGTATCCATCGTAACAGCATAACCTAAACTAGATCTGTGATTTAACACAGACGTGTGATGCATCTTATCTGATGAAGGGTGCGTGTATGTCCTCACAGTAAAAGACATAACCAGGTTGATCATGCCCTCCTTGTCGTCACCCTGCCGTCCACTCAGGCTGAACCACTCATCCACCACTCTGCCCTCCCTCAGGCCTTCAGGGATGGTGACATGTGTCCACGCTATCCTGTCATCCATAGAAAATGCTCTCTGTACATCAGCAGAAACACATGCAAACAATTATCAGGTCAGTGGAGAAATGCAAACGTATACTGCTGGATCATTAACAGCATATCAGAGTT